CAATTGTTAACGTTCTAAGCTAGTACTTCTGTACGTGTCCAAGCTTTCAACATCACGGGTTCTGCAGATATCATCTCTATATTGGGAACGCTGGGTACTTGGATTAGGGCGTTTCGTCCTGACCTAGAAATCCTAGTGCGTTACATTGTTCGGCAATTCATTTTCACTTCACGCTCGTCCCAAGAGCGCATCGTCACGGCCGTCGAGTCTATTGACAAAGATCAACGCTCCGAGCTGGATCTTTGCCGGGAGTTGTTGCTCCTGCAACAGCAGGCGACCAGTGGCTTGAACGCACACCTTGACGATGTGTGTCGGTTGTTGGAGGCGATGCGTACCGACCTCAGCGAACTGAAGGCCAGACAGTTTCCCACCAGGACGTAAGGGCCTGGTAGCTGTTCCATACCTATGAAGACAACGAAAGACGAAACGTGAACAGAAAAAGTAAATCCCCGGGAGGGGTTGCGATCGGGATATGGACTTGAAGCTCCCTTGTGGATATTCACCTTCAAGTTCAATCCAACAATCGTACATCTATATAGAATCTCAGATGTATCTAGAATGCCTCATGGCTTACCAAGATTGTATGTTAACACACCGTCTAGATGAAAATCAATTCTATGATTGTGCGTGTAGATACCTGGCATCCTTTGAGTGACTGAGAATTTCAAGGCCCGACCGGATACGCCCGTGAGTTCATTGGGCTCGAGAAGTTGTGACGACTATGGTGTAAAAAGTGTACATTTGACAGGAGGCCGTGAGCATAGCCTCCAAGGCATCCTGCTGCTTGTGCTCATCCCAATAAGCTCTACCTTAGCCCTTTCATCTCCATCACCATCCGCGGCATTCTGGATGACCCAATCCCCATTGTGCCTCCACAAGCACCCCATGCACCTGCGATGCGTGTTCGGTGCGGCGAAGTCAGCACCATGTTCACGGTGTAGTCTCTATGATTGAGGATATCCGTGATGTTGTCTTCTGAGGTGGAGAGGCTGAATAGGGTAGGGAGGAGGAATGAGACGATCTCTATCAACCAGGATATCAGTATGCGAGTGAGTGAGGTGGATATACCAAGCACCTAAGTTCCCAATTGCAGCAGTAAAATGCAGTATATTTGAGCTACTTTCACCCTCCTTATGCGGTCTGATTTGGATTGCAGCACCGTGTTGCTAGGGGGGTGGGAAGTTGGATTGTGCGGATGAGGAGTCGCTAAGACGGTCGGTATAGAATGGGTTGTTGACCGTATTGAGGTGGTGTGGGTTGACTAAGGGTGTCAGCTCCGCTATTACCAGATAAGCTTCAGATAAGGTTACAGGGGTCGCCACATATATCTATTAGAGGTGTCTATCCTCATAATAGATAAAACGGCATGCAATCGTAACGATTAGGCGGAACTTTTTTGTCGACTTCTTCGGCACAGTGTGCGTATTTCTCGCTTTGTAAAGCAATTGCTAACAGTACATTAATGTACTACACTACGAGGTCAAAAGTCTCGGGACACCCGCCTCCCGCCCTAAGAAACGACTCCATTCAAAACTCGATATCTCTACCAAACCTTTCTATATACAAAAGATCTTTTGCTGTTGATCTTTTCTAATATCAATACTTTGTATAATAACCCTTAGATCTGCGAACAGCCTTGATACGCCTTGGCATTGAACGGATGAGGTCATCCAGCACTGTTTGTGGTATGCTATTCCAGCACGTACATAAAGCATCATTGAACACTTCTTTATCCTCCTCTTTGTATCCGTCCAGCCAGAGATTTGGATACCCTTTGTATAGAGTACGTTTTAGAAGCATCCAGGCATGTTTAATCGGGTTTAGATCAGGCGAATGAGGCGGCCATTCCATAACCCAAATTCCATGTGATTCAAACCAGCTTTTAACCTCTAAATAAGTACTTACCTGCGTCCCACCGGTCCAAATCTTCATCTAATTTATCAACTAATGTCATATAATACGGAGCTCGAGAGGTACAGGGTAAGTATTGTTGTATATACATGGCCTAAATTTATGGAAGTGGTGAGAACTAGAGGCTGTTTGTTCTCTCCCTGTGTTTGTGCTTTTTCTTTCTACTCTCTTTCCTTTCCTTTCTTTTGATTTATATCTTGTCTAAGGCACTTGATCCTTAAACAAAGTTCTCTTCTGAGAATGCAGATCGCAGACGATTGATATGGATGATACAAGTGGCTTCCGGACAGAAGAACGCTAGTGCTCGGTCCTTCTCCATCCACCGATGTAGCCGGATCGAGCCGTGCGCTATACCCCACATACTACGACGGGGAGCTTACTGTTGCTAGCGCTATGTACTTGAACTAACAATGCCATTCTACCGTTATGAACATGCGTCGACTAACGTGGGCTAAACTGATATAGACTTACTAAGCCACTGGGTAGGAAGACATTATAATCTATGAATGCATAAAACGCAGGGATACCCGATATCGATGATAATAGAACTGGAATATGCAGATTAACGGAAGGCACAGCTCAGCTGCAAGCCCCGCCTCTTCCCCCCCCCCCCCCTCAATGCCCGACGTGGACAACATCGGCTCATATTATGCGAATAAAAGCCTCCCTCAGGCCACCTTAGTGAAAAAGAAAAAAAAAGAATCTCATAACTCTGCAATTCCCACGGTCAAGCTCATCTGACCCCAAATACTAAAATGACATTCGACATATACATCCCCCCCTCCCTGACCTTCCAGGACTACATCGCCGTCTGCCAATGTGCGCGCACATTCGCTGATGGGTACGATCGGAAGGTACTATACACTACCCTCTAATATATATCCTCAGCCCATTGTTACGCAACATTATCTTTACAGTACCAACGGCTTATATCCACCAACTCTAGGACAAAACCCGCCTCCGCGCCGCCCTCGCTCCCTCCGTGATAGTCGACTACAACAAAGTCCTCCCCCATGTCACCCGCGAGACCTACGAAGCAGACCACTTCGTCGAGACATGGCTGAACCCAACCAACCTTGGGAACAAGGCTCTGGCGACGCAGCATCTCCTTGGAGCACCGTACTTCAAGTTCGCATCGGAGGAAAAGATCGTCATACAATGGCAGCAGCTTGCGAGCCATGGGCGGTGGGTTGACGGTCAGGAAGAGACATATCCGGTTAAGCGCAAGATTGACGAGGCGTCGGATGGAAGAAGCTGGATGCAGCAGACTTATGTTAAGGTGGATGGGCAGTGGCGGATTCAGGTGCTTGAGCCGGAGGTTCTGTATCATACGGGGGATTTTCAGAGGATTAGACGGCCGGATGAGAAGGGAGAGGGGAAGGTTTAGGTTTGAGGTGGAGTGGGTTGGGCTCTGGGATGCTCGTGGTCGCTGTTATGGCGAATCGCCGTGTTATTAGACCGGGGTGATAGACTTGACAGCTCGCTGAAATGTAGAGCTCATTTACTTTCTCCTGATTAAGCTACTCGATTTCTTTGTGGATGCTGTATGTGACTTATACTGTCGGAGGGATCAGACAGTGTCGGGTTGTGGGGGGTCTCGGGATGTGGGCTCAGATACACTTTGCACAGTAAACCCTAACGGCTGACTTGTACCCTGAAGAGGGTCGTCGTTGCGAGAGTTGATTTTGTCTGAATATGATTTGAAGTTATCATCAAAACGTTCAAAACCAATGGGAACAAGGTCCTCGTGATCAACAACAGACTAAAATGAAAACTCGATACTTTATTCGCCAATGTTAAACGTCCCCAGTTCTATGGAACCCTTCAGCCAGAAAAGTGTCACACTATCATAAGATACTGTTCAATTCATTGTGGTATATATATTTTCTCTTCATAAGTAGGCAAGTAGTGCCCCCTGTACTCTGCTTCAAAGCAGATAAAATCCGGGACGGAATGGCCGGCATCACCATTCTAAATATTGGAGTAAGCCTATAACACCACTCAAAGTCGTAACAGGCGACCGGTATGCTATCTGAACTCTAGATTCTTAATGACAAGCCTCTGAACAGGTGGAATGATGTACCTTGCTCCCTTGTGGGCTTAGCCAATCATCACGGTCACTCGACTCTGACACAGGGGCCGGGAAGCCAAACACGACGGGTTTAGGAGATAAGTGCGGAGATATCAGTTAAATCGCTGGTTCAGCGTTAAATCGGACTGACACTGAACCATACTTTTCTGTGACGGATCTCTGGTCCCGAACTTCCTTGAACCAAACATACTCCGGTTGACCCCGGTAACTCCATTAGTATGGCGGAGGGTTGCAGGGATCATGATCCTTTGAGTGGTGACTCTCTCAACAAACACCGCCTGCTTAATCAAGCTACGTGCTACGTACGTGTTGAAGCCTACAAACGCGTAAGATTTGACGATTATTATTGAGTCTTGTTATTTTTTTTTTTTTAATGTCTTCTATTTCCGAGTCTGCCTCTTCTAAATTAGTATATTCAAAGTGTTTTGATCAAGATGATTTTAGGTGTGTTCTTATTTTTTGGTAATATCAGCTTTATCTATAAACAGATAACTAATTAATTACAGATTAGCTATGGTTAAGTTTAACATATGTGTTAAAATCAGCAAGTCATATGTTGAAATTAGAAGGCAATCCACCAAAGCTGTTATTAAAAGAGGTTTAGATGAATTAGCTGATAGTATGCAGGCAAGGTGTCAAGCAGTGATTGACGCGGATGATGGTCGTATAAAGTATTAGTAATAACTAACAATTAGTTAACTTATACAAATGGCAGAATCAAAAGGATCGCGATCCCTGCAACCCTCCACTGTACTAATGAAGTTACCGGGGTCAACCGGAGTACTACTTCCCAAACCCACCAATGTGGGACCCGAACAAAGATCAGTCAACCCAAATACACGCAATTAGGCCACCAGTCCAACATGCACGAGTTGGTGACCCTCACTCAACTTGGCATTTGTAATCGTATTTAAAAGAATTTTCTAATCGTATATAGATCCTTGTCAGCATTCCGAGTAACCCTCTCTATATACAAGAAATAAATACCCGTTTTTCCGCCAAAATGACCGACTCAAAGATCGTATTCATCACGGGTGCCAACACCGGCATCGGGTATGAAACCGTCAAAGCATTATTGAAATCCGTTAGAAGATACGTGATCCTTCTTGGTACTCGCTCTTTAGTCAAGGGGGAGGCTGCAATCGAGTCCTTGAGGACAGAAGTCCCGGACAGCTCCAGCACCGTTCACTCGATTGTGATTGACGTTGTGAGCGATGAATCAATCGAAGCAGCTTTCAAGGAAGTCGAAGTAAGGTGGGGACGGGTTGATTCTCTCATTAACAATGCCGGTAGGTGGCTTGACACCTTCTCTTCCCCTCTCGATTTAGTTCATCATCGAAGTTCCGGGAAGCTGAGAACATTTTTCATCTACTAGGGGCCGAGTTCAGCTGGGAGTTCAAGGCCGGCAAACTCACTCGACGAGAACTCCTGAACAAGACTTTCGACGTCAACGTCTCGGGCGCCTACATCGTGACTGAGACATTCATGCCGTTGCTGTTGAGGTCGAGTGATGCACGCATAATATTCATTTCTAGTGGACAAGCCAGTTTGACAGCGTTCAGTAACGGAATGATGCGTCTTCCTCCCCTGCCAGCCGCGGGCTGGCCCAAAGAGATGGCGTTTGATGCGACAGCCTATCGCTCGGCCAAAGCTGCACTTAACATGATGATGTTGAACATTTCTCGCATGCTGAGGAATGATAAGGTGAAGGTTTGGGGTGTATCCCCAGGGTTCCTGAAGACAGGATTGGGAAACATGGACCCTGCACTCGTGGAGACGATGGGGGCAAAGGATCCTAGTATTGGTGGGATTTTCATTAAGGATGTAGTCGAGGGATTGAAAGATGCAGATGTTGGGAAGGTTGTTCATGCGGAAGGACATGTTCAGGACTGGTAAAGGGGGCCAGCTTGTTGCATGTGTATTGTTCGAACAACATAATGGATAATGATTACCACGACCGCCGGGTTCTGATTTACGGAGTTGAGAAGAGCCTTTGACAGTTATTATGAATGGAAATATAAGCGATATGGGGTAGTTTTACCGTTCCGGCTTTCAGGCAGTTCAGGGACTTTTAGTTCGGAGTACACGTGGAGCGAAACTGGATTTCTGGCCGGCCTGAGCATGTCTGCACTCATTGTCTGAACCTTTTCTTTCGTCAACGATGCTACACACAGTGGAAGTAGGCGTAGTTGGCCTTGTGGTAAGATCTAAAGAATACCCCTATCCGTACTATACACACTTAAACCAACGACCAGGGATCTCACATCCTCAGTACTCTCCTTGCCCATCCCGCCATTTCAATAGTCCACGCATACACCCGCAAAGACCCACCAGCAACAGATCCCAAACTCACAACCATCCATAACAAGGGTTCAACCATATGGTCTTCACTATTCCCCAACGACACGCACATATTATTCTCAGCACTAGGGACAACGCGTGCCCAAGCCGGAAGCTTGGAAAACCAACGGAAAATCGACCTCGACCTTAACCTGGAACTAGCTCAAGCTGCAAAGCGCAGGAGTGGAAACCTACATTCTCATCTCATCAGGTCAGCCGGATGTGAATAGCCGATTAGCCTTTCTCCGTATGAAAGGCGAGCTAGTCGAGGCAGTTTAGGCTTTGGGTTTCAAGCATACTATTATCTTACATCCTGGCCTCATTGTGGGCGAGAGGAGGGATAGTCGACCAATGGAGGCAGTTGCCAAGGGGATTGCGAGTTTTTTGGGGAGGTTCCAGAATAGAGCTCTCATGCACCCTTGGGCACAGCATGCTGAAACAATCGCGAGAGCGGCTGTGAGCGCAGGGTTGCAGGCTGCGGAGGGTAAGAGGGAACCAGGGGTGTGGGCTTTGCAGCAGGCGGATATTGTTCGGCTGGAATTTACGGAATGGAAGGATCCGGTTGAGCGTGTAGAGGGGGAGAGCAGTGCTCAAAACGTCGTTTAATTGAAATATACTGTGTGTAGCATGCAGCTTTCATTCATAAGCTTCGATGCGTCTCTTTGTGGCATCGAATGTGCGTAATTAACCACTGGAGCGACTTTTCTTCTTCGTTCGCCGACCTCCTCCATGCGCCGAGACGTGGTTTCAGATTCTACATAATGTTCTTGTATTACTACGGAACTCTAAGTAAATGTGAAATCGTCAAGAGCCTAGCAGATGCAGAATCAATACGGATTGATAGTAATGTACCGGGCTCACCAGTAGACCCTCAATCTCCAGCTGTAAAGCAACTCCGTGATCCGAAGTAATATATGTGGATCGCAGATCATCGGTACTTTATAGCGCTGATTCATTGGACCCACTTACTAGTAACAATAAAAACAACCTGCCCAGGAACCTAATTCTTGAATTCATGTCACAATATAACGCCCTAGAGATATTATTTTTCAATGAGTTTCTTCGCATTATAACTACTACTATCTAATACTAATCTTATTTAGTTGTTCTCTAGTATTAATAAAGATTATAAAATAGCCTTTGCTCATAATATGAATTGAATATATATACATATATATATATTCCTAGATAATTGAACCAAGCGTATTTTCAGGCCTCAGGTTTTCTCGTAGGTCTGTGAAAGCCCAAATGTTTTGGTAATGGGAGTTGAGTTCGTAATATACTTATCATACATGGAGGATCAAAAGAATTAGTCATTTCATAATCATAATTCTGATATCCGTCGTAAACCTATATTCTGTACTACCCAGCCACTGCCTAGGTTGAATACTCCTGTCCCCTCTAGTTTCCCGTCTACCTTGCCCATAGCCATATCCGTTAGAAATCTGCCTAGATGCTCGGTTGGACAGTGCATCCAGGTAAAAATATGCCGTATCGGAGGCCCTGCCAAAGCGATTCCAATCCTTGCACCAAGTCCACTGACCGCATAGTTAGGAACATACGGTTGAACGGTACCATGCGCTGCCGCGTCAACAAAGCCTGGTCTCACGCTATCGACACGAATTAGTGGGTTCGTGGTTGACAGGTCACTGAGTAGTTTCTCAGTCTCGCCCTTCACTCTGGCAAATAGCGGAGAAAATAGCCCAGGAGACTGTGTAGCTCCTTCACCGGAGACATAGATGAACCGAAACGGTGGCTTCGAGGACTTGAGGGTGGAATAGGCTTTCGCCGCAGCGAGGGCATAGTCCTTGGTAATCTTGACATGCTGACTGCTAGGCTATTAAATTCTGATAATGTTTCGTTTGAATAGATTGATCAATTACATACTCCTCTGTGACATTTGTTGTGCTCGTTCCTAAAGCCCAGACGCATCCATCAGCATCTTTCAACTTCTGGAGCAAGTCTGGCTCATAACGTTGGAAATCTTCATGAATTAAGACTTGGATTCGCGGATCTTTTGCATCCTCCGCCATTGGCACAGGCCTGCGACTAAGGATAGAGATCTTGGCAACCTCCGCACTTCTTAGCATGGCATCGAGAACCGAGGAGCCCACCAAGCCTGTTGCACCTGTAAGAATAAGGTGCATATTGTAGACGTTGTATGCGCTTTGTTGTTCGGGTTATCGAAATCCGCTGACAATGGCCATGAAGACGTGATCAAGAAAAAATTCGAGACCGGCGGGGATAAAAAAGGAAAAATTCCAGGAGTGTTGAGCGTTATATAGACAAGGGCTTATACCAAGAATGCAGCTCCCGTTCCATTTCCGTACATTATTCGCTGGAAATCACTCGCACGGACCGCTGGATGACAGGTTGTAAGGTCTTAAGCTCGGATTTAAGCAACCGAGTTCCGAACGATATACTCCGTAATCTCGGGATCGACGAGACCCGGTTCCGGCGTTAAGTTTGAGCTGCCGAACAGTCATCCTGTGCACGCAGGTCACTTTCATTATATTTAATTTTTATAATTACTATAACTTTCAAGACTATAGAGATATTTAGGCCCATATTCTTCACTTCAAATAGTCATATATCAGTATAGCTAGCATCTAACTACACCAGCTCAATCAGGTATAAGAATATGAATTGAATTGAATTGAAATTGGACCCACTAACTCTAACGTATTCTTCCCGCAAACTCGATTGGCCTGCAAACTTGTAGATCGAAAACGCTGAATCATTACCCACACAACCTAGGATGCATGGTAGACCCTCCATTCAGATTTAAGATTTGTCTTACTAGATTCGGAAGGGTCTGACTTAAATCCGGGCTCGACTGAACCTGTTTGCCATCCGGTATCCCGACGTCCTGAGTATCGACACCGGGATTAATGGACACAATTCCGTTATCTTCTCGTTAGAAATAAAGTAACTCTGTATATGAAGGCAACTGGTCATCTCTATTTATCACTCATAGTACCAGTTGATCATTCTTTCGCATCATACCCCAGATTGCTAACCTATCATGACTACCACAACCATCTATTTCCTAAGAAGAATCATCCTAGGTCTAATGACCCTAGACCCCGACGCCACCCACGGCGCGCGCATCACCTCACTTGACAAGCTCAGGTCCTGCCTCGACCTCTCCCATCGCCAGAGGGTATGATGAACTCGACACTGCCCGCCTATACGACGCCGGTCGCCATGAAGCATGAACACACGAAGCAAGATGGAAAGAACGCGGTTTCTCAGGGGCTCTCGGATGGTACCACGTTGGACTTGGCATGCACTGCCTTGAAGTCCTAGAGGCCAAATTAAATGGATGAAGTCCTAGAGGCCAAATTAAATGGAACTCCGAAGGTGCTAGGAACAGACTGCCTTGACATCTCTACCTTCACAGGCCAGATCACAGTGCACCATACGCAGAAACGCCCCAAGCTGCAGATAAGCTGTACCGCACGGGCAATTTCAGCTCCTCGAGCTTAGCAATTTTTGGTTTGTGCAGAAAATTCAATGCAGTAAATGTAGATTATCGAATAAGGACTATAGATAAATGCCAGCCAAAATAGTGTCTTCCCATAATCTACTTCCGCAATGACAACTTGCACATCAGCGCAGGCTTCTCCCATAAAGTAAATGTCTTCTGATCCGACCATTGTCGACTATCCTCGCAAAGCTCCAGATCGAAGTTCCACAACACACGAGAAATAATAACTCGCATTTCCGCCAAAGCCAGGTTCCTTCCGATGCAGTTCCTCGGCCCAGTAGAGAATGGTTGGAGCACTTCTCTGTTATCAGAGAAGAATGGTGAAGATTGGTCTGTTTTGGCTTCTGGTAGCCACCGCTCAGGAAGATAACGCTCGGGTGCATGAAAGTTACTAGTTGACTTGTAAGCAGCAAGCGGATGCACGTAGACTCTGGTCTATATGCGAGAAGAGATTAGTATTCCGTATTCATTGTGGATGTGTCCTTCCATAGGTATCCTAGTTTACTCACACCAGAAGGAATTTCATAGCCCGAGATGAGTGTCGGCTCGATAGTCCTGCGGGTGAGTCCAGTCGGAACCGGAGGATACATGCGAAACGCTTCATCGATGCAGGCTTGTAGGTAAGGAAGCTTCGCAGCCACGAGGCTGGCGGTAATATCGGTCTCGGACTTCATGGTGGAACGAACTTCGGTGGTCACTTTTTCAAGCGCGTCAGGGGTCTTTAGCAGCCAGTATGTGATGCCGCAAAGCAGTGTGGCAGTTGTCTCACTGCCAGCAATGATAAGCACATTCGCATTGGCCACGATCTCTTCGTGAGTTAGGCCATCTTTTGTGTCGTAATTTCGCAACATCGAATCCATAAAGTCTCCGCGATCATACTTCGATGCATTGTCGAGTCTCTTCTGGACAGTTATTCTAGTGTGTGCCTGTTGGCGCTTTCGTGCATTCAGGAGTGATTTTGGCATAAAGAGGGCTAGAAGCTTAAAGATTGTGGGGTATGCATCCCTTAACTTGATGAACGGTAAGAGCTTAATGAATTGGAAGACTGTTGCAACCCAGTAGTGAT